CTTGGGCCCAGGTTTCAGAATATCAGAGGAGATACACAAATAAAAAACTCATCACCATTTGGTGATACTTGAGTCCCTGGTCTTCCTCAAACCACCTGCTACCATTTACTTTTCAGAGTCCTCACATAGCTTTTCCGTGCACGGGCACTTTCAGAGGGAGAGACAAGGTATAGTGTACTTCGGGTTTCTGTTCTCGTGATGCCGTATGTTTTCCTCCTATAGGATTTAAACCTCACAAGATACAGAAACCATTGTCCTAACAGGCAATATTATTTTACATTTTCCTTCAAACTTACCCTCCCCGGTGCTCACTCCTTCCTGTGATTCCATAAGACCATTTGGAATAATTTTCTTTCAGCCTAAAGAACTGACTTAATATTTATTTTCTTAGCTTTTGTTTGAAGGCATCTTTATTTTTCCTTCGTTTTTGAAGGAGCTTTGTCGTGATTATAGAATTCCAGTTCAGCAGCATCCCCTTGAAAGATGTTATTCTACTGTTGCCTGATTTCAGTAGTTTCTGCTTGTGTCTTTTTGTGCAGCTCTAATATTTTCTCTTTGTCTTGTTTCTTATGGTTTCTTTTTCCTTATTGAAGCTCTCCATGTATTTGTTCACTGTGACTATTTGTTCCTTTAAGTACCTGAACATAGATATATGCTCAATATGCAGGATAAAAGCTGCTTTAATGTTGCCTTCCTGACAGTTCCTACATCTGGGTCACCTCAGAGTCAGTCTCTTTTGACTGCTGCTCTTGAGTATGGTATGGGTCATTTTTCAGGTTTTTCACCTGTCTATTAATTTCTTTTAATATATATTTTATTGACTTTTTACAGAGAGGAAGAAAAAGGGATAGAGAGTTAGAAACATCGATGAGAGAGAATCATAGATCAGCTGCCTCCTGCACACCCCCACCGGGGATGTGCCCACAACCATGGTTCATGCCCTTGACCGGAATCGAACCAGGGACCCCTCAGTCTACAGGCCAACGCTCCATCCACTGAGCCAAACCGGTTTTGGCTATTAATTTCTTATTATATGCTTGAGATTATAAATGATACAAGGTCATCTTAACTTAATGGACGTTGATTTTATTCTTGTAAATTCCCCTTGGCCTGTCTGTCTTTACACAAAGTCGTGACCCTTACTTTAGAGGGATGGTCTTTCTAGCATCTCAGTTGAATGTCTGAAGTGTACAATGGGGTCTCTAGACCCTGCTAGGCTGGAACTCCAATCTCTCCCAGCACCACATGCCATGCAGCAGGCAATCGGTGCTAGACCTCACAGAGTTTTGTTAGACTTATATTAGAGTCCAGATGCACAAAATTTGTGCAAGGGGTTTGGCCCTCGCAGCCCTGGCTTCATCCAGAAGGTCGTCCGGATGATTGTTCTGCTGTTTGGTCTAATTAGCATATTAGCTCTTTATTCTATAGGATTCAGTCCAGCTCTTGTCCAAGGACCCGTGGTGAATCTCCATATAGACTGTGGAACTTGCCTTTTCACAGCTACCTGTTTTCAGATATGCTACCCGCTAACTTCAGCCACTTCAACAGCACAAAACTCTAATCTCTTCCTCCTTAACTGAGTCTGTTGCTCTGCTTCTGGCAGCCCAGGAAAAGTACCCTTCCGCAGAAAAACCAGAGCAATTATGAGAAAGTTATGGAACACTCTTCACGTGGTTCCCTTCTCTCGAGGGTCACAGCTGTGTTTCCTTCAGATCCCTGAAAAAATTTGCCTCCTCTGTTTTTGCCCAGTCTTAGAAGTTATTTTACTAGGGGACTATATCTTGCTGGGAGTAACTTCTTGGTGCACAGTAATTTAAATGCACATTGAGATTTAAATCACCGATAATAGAACTTTTCCTACAAGCAATTTCTGACAAAGCTTATGTAAGAGTGCTTAATTAAATTTCAGGAGTGACTAAAGGGGAAAGGGAGCAATGTTTTTTGTTTTTTTGTTAATTCTCACCCATGGGTATTTTTTTATTGATTTTGAGAGGAAGGGGAGAAAGGAGAGGGAGAGAGAGAGAAACATCGATGTGAGAAACACACATTGATTGGTTGCCTCCCACACATGCCTGACCAGAGCCCAGGATTGAGCCTGTAACTGAGGTATGAGGTATTTGCCCTTGACAAGAACCATACCCAGTTCCCTTCAGTCTGAAGATGGACTCTCTATTCATGGAGCCAAACCAGCAGGAACAATGTTTTAAGGGCATTGCAGACAAATTTTAAACCTATCCTATATTGTTATGTATCTGATACTCTTAGACGAAAGTACAAAAGGTACAAATTTCTTTTTCCCCCCCATCTTTGACCTCTCCTGTAAATACACAAAGCTCACTGAAGCTAAGTTGGAGATACTTGAACTTGGAATCATTGGTTGGTGAGTACCTAAATGTGGAGACATTGCCTTAAGAAGGCAGGTCAGACTGAAAGAAAATACTATTTGGTTCTAGAAGCGACTCTCCATTTTTAAAGGGTGGAGATGGTTTGGTAGTAAATTAGTTCTCTCTCTCCACCCTGGGAGATTAGACAAACAATGGATCTAACTAAGAAAATAGACTGACTCATTTGGCTACAATGCTATACTGAAGTTACAAGCAAACTAGCATTAATCTTCAGAAAAAAAATCGGATTCTGTATACTGTAAATGAGTTTCACAGTCAATTCTGATATTTCTCACTGAAGAAACAAACAAAACAAAAAAAAACCAGACATGAAATTCATTGATCTAAATTCATTAACCCTGTCTTTCCTTACATCATCATCTGCTCTAGCAAGGCTGAAATCATGTGCAATTTACTTCATTATTAGCTCTTCTTTGGGATGACAGTTCTTATTGCAAGAGCACTGAGGTTTGCAATCACCCTCTTTCCTCCTAATTTTTGTGAGCATTTCCAAAGTTCTAACAGTAAACACTCCATCTTCAACATGAACAGTGCATCAAGGGAACAGGTATGGATGAGAGGGGAAAGTCGGGCCTGTGGGGTAGGAAAAGAAGGTGTATGGAGCTGATAACGGGTCAGCAGTGAAAAGGGTGGAGAATGGGAGGGAAATGGAATCGTAGGTCTGGCAGAGACAAGCCCTCTGGCGGAGACCGCCTCTGGACAGGTCAGGAGGGGGTGTCTGTGTGGGCCTTTCCTCACATCTGGAGTTAGCTTCCCATTAGCTGAAATGTTCAACTCTTTGCCTTTCACCAAGCCTTACGTCCTCTCTTCAAAGCGGGTGCTCCTTCTCCTCCTGCCCCAGGAGGAAGGCCTTGGGGCTGGATCACATTAGTTGGGGGGAATGGTCCGTTCTTCTTCCAGGAGCTCTGGTTCAGGGCTAGGTCACACACTGGCCTCGCTCACAACGGAAGGGCAGGTCTCCAGGCCAATGGACAACTCCCCTGGGCGGGGAGACAGGGCCTCTGGCTGATGGTCACACTGCATGTGTCCAAGTCCCCTGAGCTGCGAGGACACCCTATGCCCTAGGGTGGGCTGGGAGTTTTACGGGGAGCTTCGGCCTCCTTGTCCATGGGGATACATACAACTGCCTGCATTCCTCCACACCCACACCCTTACAATCTTTTTAAAAAATATATTTTATTGATTTTTTTTCACAGAGAGGAAGGGAGGGGGATAGAGTTAGAAACACGGATGAGAGAGAAGCATCCATCAGCTGCCTCCTGGACCCCTTCCCCCGACCCCTCACTGGGGATATGCCTGCAATTAAGGTACATGTCCTTGACCAGAATAGAAACTGGGACCCTTCAGTCCGCAGACCTACGCTCTATCCACTGAGCCAAACCGGTTTCAGCCACTCCCCTGCATTCTTCACTGAGAAGGGGCATGTTGGCACCTATGGTCCCTCTGGGGCCACCCATCCCTTCTACATGTCGCGGTGTCTGCGTGTCCCTGGAGGGACTGGGGCCAGGATGGGCGGATTAAATCGTGGCTCCTTCTGCTTCACCCAGGGACGTGCTTGTGATCTTGTGCACAGAGGTGCATGCCCATATTGGCTGCAGTTGGGTGCCTGGCACATCGCACCCCTCGTCCCCTCCCTGGCGACCTGCGCGGCCCGCCCCGAGCTTCCCGGGGTCACGGCCCGCGATACGGCGGCGGCCTGGCTCCGAGCCGCGCTCTTCCCGAGTCGTGGGTGGCGCGGGGCTGGCTTCCCTCCCCTCCCTTTCCGGACCCAAACCCGGACGGATCTGGGTCAGCCTGGGAGGGGCGGGGGCCCAGGGCGATGACAGCATCTCTCAGGTTCCTGGCGATGAGCGCGCTCCCTCCGGCCTCTCACCGCTCTGCCCCGGGGGACCGCCGCTCCGGCCGGGCTGCTGCGGCTCTGCCCACCCGGAGGGCCCCCTCCACGCCTGGCGATCCATGTGCCCCCCCTCCCACCAGGACCCCCTCCCCAAACTCCGGTTCCCCCGGCACCCGCCCTGCGGGCGGGGTCCCGCCCGGGAAGGGAGGCTGGAACCGTTCCCCGAAGCCCGGTTCCCGGTCTTCCTTTCCTGCGATAAACGCGGGCTCCGCGCCAGCCACGCTGGAGATGCTCCGCCCGCAGCCCCCGGCCTGTCCCCGGGCCCCGCGGGGCACGAACCCGGGGCGAAGAGGTCCGCCACCCGCACACTCCGCGGGGAGGCGCTCCGGGGGCCCTGGCTGCCCGGTGGGGCCCTCCCTCGGGGTCCCCGCTCCCGCACGGGCAGGGCTGGGTGCAGGGCAGGGTGCCGGGGCCAGGGCGCCTGGGAGGTCGGAGGGTCATGGACCTTCGCGGCCCCTCCCCACGAGCTCTCACATAAGCCGGCCCCACCCCGCCATCCGGCCACACGCCCCACCGCCCCAGCCCGACCCTCCCTCCCCATCCTCCCTGCAAGTGGAGGCAGAGCTGCGAGTGGAACATCCATCGCCTCCGGCTCCTGCGCTCAGCGCTCAGTTATCTCCGGTCCCCTCCCCGGCCCCTCCCTCGGCCCCCCACTCCCTCGGCTCCCCACGGCCCCGCTCCCGGACCTGGCCCCGCAGGAGGGGCGCCTCCCCGCCCCGCACGCGCTTGCGGGTGGCGGGAGCCACGGGTGCTCCGGGCCCGGAGCTCCCCCAGAGCTACCTGCCTGCCTCCCGGAGCCCAGGCCACAGGAGGTGCCGCCGGCCCCGCCCCCGCCGCCCACAGACACCCGGCCATCGCTCCGTCCTCCGGATCAGCCCGCGCCCCTCCCCGCCGGCGCCCCCTCCCTGGCTGCCGGGCGGGAGGCGCAGAGCTCTCCCCGCCGGCCGGCGCCTGGGGAATCCTGTGGGCGCGGCGGCCCTTGGCCTTTATCGCCGCCGGCTCATCCTAGGAAACTTTATCAGCGAGGCTCCCCGCTCGTCCCTGCAGACCCACCGGGCGGCGGGGACCTGCGCTCCGGGCTGAGCGCGCTGCTCGGGCACGCATGGCGCCCGCACACGGAGTCTGACCTGATGCGGACAACGGGGCTAATATGAACGGCCCTCTCGCTGGGATCTGGCTCTGGCTCCCTCTGCTCCTGACCTGGCTCAGGCCCGAGGTCAGCTCCTCATGGTGGTAAGTCTACGCACCGGCCCGGGGTGTGGGGGTTCCCTGCGGGAATGGGGACCGCACCTCCGGGGACACCCTGCCCGCCGCGCTTCTCCCCGGAGCGGGTCCCAGGCGCTACCCCGCAGCTGCCCTCTCCCTTCCCCCTGATCCCCAGTCCCTCGCTTTTCCTCTGAAGACCATTCCAACTTTGACAACTAAAAAAAAAGAGAGAGAAGGAAGAAAAAAGAACCCACAGCCCCCCCTCAAATGAGAGCTCTGATTCTGATATTTGGGTTATTTGGATCCAGCTGAATGACAGCAAAATCAGCCAATTCCTTATCCCGTTAAGAGACGCGTGTGTGTGTGTGTGTGTGTGTGTACTCTGAAAACTGCAGTTGTCCTCCCTGCCACTCCCCCATGCCCCTCAAAAACTCTAGACAAACCTAGGGGCCATCCAGGCAGGCAGGCAGGCAGGGGCTGTGTGATTCTGCATTATTTCTCGTCCTTCCACATTCTAGTGCTTCTCCCCATGGGTGGGAAGCTCACTGTGCAGCTGCCTCCAGGTAGAGCCTGCCGCCTCCCCGGAGCTGGGCTGGGGGTGGGGCGGGGCCCAGGGAGCTGGGCTGCAGTCCTTTGGAAGCCGATGGGCTACCCATTTATTTATTTTGCACAGTGAACACAGCAGGTCTCAGCCCCCTCCCAAAGGGATTTTCCTCCCACCCAGAAACTCTTCCACGTCTTCCCACCTGATGATCTTGAAAGGCGGGAATGGAGGCTCCTTGGCATCCTTGCACCTAGGAGTTTCCCCACCAGATACTAAAATACTGATTCTGAAAGCCCTGCTGCCTGGGGGGGTCTCACGGGGGAGTCTGGGCCAAAGGACAGACAGGCAGGGAGCTCTCCAAAGGCGCGGGGCAGAGCACTGATGGGAAGAGGGTTCCAGCCCTCCTCTCGCACTTTGGCTGGGAAGGCTTTCAGCCTTGACATTGCTGACACTGGACCAAAGGTAGATTTATCAGAATGACCAGTTGTTGTTTCGTTCAATAAGATGATATTTCTGTTTCCATGGTTAAACATTATTGGTTGCCCAGTCTTTTTGTCACGTTGTCTCTCCGCTGTCGCTTGAATATGCTATTTTTGGGGAAATCACGGCTCTCACGATTTTATGATCATATAAAGTAATGAAAATGCAAGAAAAGACATTCTCCTTGTTTGATGGCTTCAAAAGACACCTATGGCAGCTTTGGTTATATAAAAGGTACCTTTTCTAAACATTTCACAACTAATAGAGAACATCTGGGCAGAGATGATGATGTAATTTTTTTTTTTTTTTTTTGTTAAAGTGTCTTTTCAAAAGTACTTTATGGAGCTATAATACTGTTTGATTCTTCCAAACATTCAGTGTCCTTAATAACAATAGAAAGAACGATTTCCAGAGGTCCTCTAGGAAGGCCAAGAAGGGCTAGAAAATGGAAACATTTAAAGGACCCGAAAGAACGGCGAGTCTGCCAGGAGAGTGTGACATCAGATACCAGCAGGTGTCGATTAGACAGATACAGACAGTTTCTGTAACATACTCAAACATTCGGGTCAAACAGACGCAGGCGAGAAGCTGTAAAGGTCGGCTTCCCCCAAAGCCAAGTCCAGACACATTTCATCATTGAGATCAGAGCCTCCTTGGGAACAGTGTTTGAGGGCTCTTCCCAAAGGATGCTGCCCCTCCCTGCTCACTCTGTTCCCTGACCGCCCAGGGCGTCATCCGCTGGCCCCGCGTTCATGTCCCAGACAGCCGTCGCTCGGCTTGGGGGTGGCCTCCACCAGGTTTCCCTCTGGTGCCTGCTGTGCTGCTTCTCCGTGCAACTAAAATTAAATACCCTTTGCTTCCCAGTGTCTCTAAAAGGATATGGCATTCACATTTGAAACAGCGCTTTGAGCTGAAACCGGTTTGGCTCAGTGGATAGAGTATCAGTGTACGGACTGAAAGGTCCCGGGTTCGATTCTGGTCAAGGGCATGTACCCTGGTTGTGGGCACATCCCCAGTGGGGGGTGTGCAAGAGGCAGCTGATCGATGATTCTCTCTCATTGATGTTTCTAACTCTCTATTCCTCTCTCTAAAAAATAAAAATAAAAAATACACACACACACACACACACACACATATATATAAATAAAAAATAAAAATAAAAAATAATATATACACACACATATATATATGTGTGTGTGTATATATGTGTGTGTGTGTGTGTGTATATATGTGTGTGTGTGTGTGTGTATAAAAGAAAGAAAAAAAAGAAACAGCGCTTTGAACTCAGTCTCCCAGGACACCTGGCTTCGGGCCTCCATGTCAGTGTCCTCACCCTGTGTTGGCCCTCCCCAGGTACATGAGAGCCACGGGCGGCGCCTCCAGGGTGATGTGTGACAACGTGCCGGGCCTGGTGAGCCGCCAGCGGCAGCTGTGCCACCGACACCCGGACGTGATGCGTGCCATCGGCCTGGGCGTGGCCGAGTGGACGACGGAGTGCCAGCACCAGTTCCGCCAGCACCGCTGGAACTGCAACACCCTGGACAGGGACCACAGCCTCTTCGGCAGGGTCCTGCTGCGAAGTAAGTCCCTGCCTCCGGGCCCTCCACGGGTGCTCCTCCCCACGCCCCCCCCCCACCTTTATTTGGTCTTTGAAGTCCCTGCTCATCTCTTCCTTGCATTTTATTCAGTCAGGAGCTTATCCTGTGGGGGCATTGCCCCTGTTCTACAGATGAGGACTTAGAAAATCAAGGAACGTGTAGGAGGCTGGTCACAGATTAGAATGTAGACCCCAGGCTGACGTCTTATCTATCACTCCTTGCTCTGTCTGTGGCTGGAGGAATCAGTGGACCAGATTTCTCAGGCACGAGTGAGCGTGCGGTTCTTGGAGTACCGATGAGATCGGACTTTTCAGAAGCCCGCATGGGAGAGAGAGACCTAGGGGAAGACTTGGTTTGCACGGAGTTAACACCCCTCGGGTTCCAATGTCCCATGTTCTTAGCCCAGCCCTGGAGGAGGGGCGGCCGGGGTCCAGAGCTCTGTGCCCAGCTGCAGCTGGCCCAGCTCGGCATTCAGGCTCATGAAAGCCCATCAGTCCACTGTGGGGGTCCCACATGGCCATGGGAGCCCTGCGAGCCCTGCCCAGAAGAGCCAAGAGAGTGAAAACCAAGAGAGCTGCTCCTTTGTTCATAAGTTTAAACATTCAGATTTCCAGCCTGGCAGTGGCCACACCTATTCTGGCCACTCGTGTGTTCCCAGGTGTGACTGGCAGACAGGTGGGCACCTTCCCATGTCACTGGGGCCGGACTGGGCGTGCGTCTGTTGTCCACTCAGTCGGAAACAGACTTGGAAAGTGTTAAAGTAGCAAAGCTGTACAAAAGGCATGCCTGTATTATCTAGTCTTTCCTTTACTCTTTCCTGCTAATAATGACCAGATTACTGCCACAGGATCCTGACACCCCTTCCTGCTCCTCCAGGTTCAGATTTTGTCTCTGGGAGAAAGGAGGCTTTCTAGACTTTTTTACTTGCACCTTCAGAAGATCTGAGCATCAGATGAGGATGGAGTGCTCAAATCTTTTATTGGCCCTCGATGGCTATTATTACAGTGGTGCATAAATGTTATTAAAAAGCAGAGACAAATCTCTGCTCACCACCTTTGACCTCCCATTCAGCTGTGGGTCACCCTATATCTAACTTTTTTTTTTTTTACAGTAGACTGTAAATTCTACAAGGTTGGACTAACCTGCCTTCTCTGCATCTCACTTGATGCTCTGTGTGCTGCAGACCCCATTCATTCATTGAATGGTTGCGTGAATGAATGGATGAACTTGTAGTGAACACCTGTTATTTCCCAGGTACACTTGAGGCAGAAGGGTATTTATGGAGGGTTAGGAGTGTGAACCATGAATACATAATTGGGTTGTTTTGTATTGTGTGTGCGTGTTTTTTCACTTAGGAGCATTAAACATCATACCATTGTCCGGCGGGTGTGGTTCAGTGGTTGACTATCAACTTATGAACCAGAAGATCAAGGTTCGATTCCTGGCTAGGGCACATGCCCAGGTTTCAGGCTTGATCCCCAGTGGTGGGTGTGCACGAGGCAGCTGATCAATGATTCTCTCTCATCAATGATGTCTATCTCTCACTCTTTCTCCCTGCCTCTCTGAAATTAATAAAAAAATTAAAAAACCCACAACATCATATAATTGTATTAAAAATTTTTTTTAAGTCCTGCATGTGGAAAGTAGCTCACGAATTGGTATAAAGAGAAAATTAACTGAAAATCACATTTTATTTTTCTTAAAATTTGTTCCTTAACCTGGTGCTATAAGCATTTTCGAAGAACTAGCACAGTCCGTTTGCTACTGGGAAATCTGACTGAAAACACAAAAGTTTTGTGTGAACCCCAGAAACAGGAAACTTTACCCTTGTTTTTGCCCACCCCACCCCCATCCCTAGGAAAACCATCCAGGCTGTACACTTGGTAATGCGTAGCAGAGGGTGTTTCTATCTTGTAATCATCACAGCCCCGGGGTTTTATGAGGCCAAATGCATAACTGAATGTCTCTGAAATCCCCCCAGGGCGTAGTGCACTCACCCGCAGCGTATCCCTCAAGAAAATTTATGGCCATATTCTGCAATTTTATTCTCTAGCTTAAGAACTATACTCTTCTGCATTCCTTTTGGAGTTTTGATATGACATTGCACATTTTTTGAAAGGCTAATAGTAAATTTCAGCAGCATGGAATTTTCAGGCTTCACCTAGATTAGCTCGCCAGTGAATCAATTCAAATGCCGGAACTTGTCAAAGAAAGTTTGCAAGTATTTAGCAGAAGATACCTTTGGACAAATTATGTAAGGCTCTCGGTGTTTGCAATACATCAGGGCTTTTCCTTTTCAAAGTGCTCACAACCATTCCCCAATGATTCCAAATGAAATGTCCTTCTCATTTATAAGATGATCCCCTCTAAATTCTGTCTGTGAAAATCCGTTAAGATGTCTCTATAGTGAAGAAAATCTTGAGGTCACAAATCAAAGGACTTGATTTTGACAGCTAATCCTCAACGCCTGCCAAAGCTGGGAGTTCATTCATAAAATACTTTAACTTAATCTTGACAGTGTTTGTTTCTTCAGAGCTGTGGAGTGCTGAGAGGGAAGAGGTTGGAACTAGTTTGACTCAGTCGAAGGCCTCAAGTAAATAAGAGATTCTAACTCTTGTTTCCCTCAGAGTTCTTTCAGCTGAAGCTTGAATGCTTTGCCAAAGTACTCAGAACTTAAAACACTCAAGCTACACAATTTCTTTCCATTCTTCATAGAAGGCCAGATTTCTTCCTGGACATTTATGTAAACTCCTGTGACTGTCAGTGATGATTTTGCGTTGATTCTGGGAGGGCTGAATTTGGCCTAAGGTAGTTTATCCTGGAAATCATCATGAAATTCCAGTAAAGCTTTCCAAAAAATTTCTATAATTAATTGCTTGGAGGGAAATGCACATCTTAGAATTGTGAAGAACTTCCTTTGGAAACCTAAATGTGTCCTTATAGATGACTGGGAAGGCAAAGGGCGATGCCATTTATAGGAAGAACATAAAGGTTACTAACACATCCCAGGGTCACAGAGAAATGGAGAACATTTGCCTCTTTTGCTTCAGCCAGCTCAGAGTTAGACACTCATTTTTAGTAACCTTTGCATTTCACTCACTCAACAGACTATCGCCAGTCACAGGCTGAGAAACTCACACCCATATATCCCTGCAAGAATATACCTCTGGAGTTCTTGAATGAACCTTAAAAAGGTCTCATCCTTGTAAATGTAAAAAATAAAAATTAAAAAAAAAATTTAAGCATTTTAAAAGAGTCAAACACATATCTTTCCAACAAGCCCAGCTTCTAGTGTCCTGCTCTACCAGGTAACAATCCCTGATTGCAAACAAACACTGTGCCTGTGCGCTTCGTGTAGACATCGTCTGACTTATCTGGACCCAGAAATTAGAGAAACGAATCGTAACACATCAGGAAGTCTAAATATCATTATTTAGACTTGGATTTTGTTTCATATTATGATGGCTTTAAAAATAATCCATTTTTCTAAGAAGAGCCCCAAGGTCAAAATTTGTTTTGTTAGAAAGCCAGCTCTTGAAATGTGCTACTATTTCACACATAGTATTTTAGTGATTCATCTAAGACACTTAACTGGAAACATCTTAAGGCCACATCTACCACGATACCAAAACATCTGGAGGTAAAATGAAAAGCCAGTCCCTGTGCTGCATTTTTAGTTAAGTAAATAAACACCTCTCTATGGAGTAATGCGCTCTAATAATCAGTGACAAATATTGGGAAAGGTATTTTCGCTTTAGAAATTATTTCCGGAAGGCAGCAGATTGTAAGTGATTTCGTTCTTTCAGCCAACAGGTCGATGCCATTGTACCTTAAGCCAGGATGAATGCTCTGCCTGGTCAATTTATTCCTCTCCTACTTTCAAAATACTGTCTGGCCACTGGCATTCCATCATTGACATTGTCCATATTTCCCCCCTAAAAGACCACCTGGTAAAATTTCTCTTCGTTCTCAGTAAAAAAATAAAAAATAAAAAAATAAGGCTAGTGCTAAGTACCTTAAGCACTTGGGAATTTGCCCTCCGTGTGATATCTCTAAATGTGGACACTGAACTCCAAAACCAGGCTTTAGAAGCTCAGTGGTTTTGGCATAACGAATGCAAGGTATTTCCCTAAAGTGGTTATAATTAAAATCTCATTTATCTGAGCGCCACAAGCTGGGATTAAACCACATTAGCCTCAGTGAGCCACCATCTTTTACAAAACAACTCAATTCCACTTAGAAAATCTGTAATCCTCCTAACCTGGGACTCTGAAACAGCCCTCATGACCATCGAGTTTTCCTCCTGAGACCACCACCTGCTACCGATAGCACATATTCATATAATCAACTTTACCTCACTACGGAGAGCGGCTGGTTTCTTTTTATGATGCCTAGAGGCATGGGGGCAGATATTTCTGGAGGGCTGAGGTAAGTGCCATTTAATATGGTGTAGATATGTTTTCCCGATTTTTAATAATGAGACCAGCAGAGGAAAGATCGCAAAGGGCATTATATAATGTATATAATAAATTTCGGCGCTGAGTGACAGACAGAACCAAGCGGGGCTCTGATGCGGAGAGGCGGTTTGTTCTCCCAGCTGTGTGGTTCAAAAAGTCACACTCGTCTCGACACACCGGATCGCCAAGTGGCTCTGTGTTCTGCCTTGCCTTGGCAGGAGGCTGGCTGTTCGGCCTGGGTTCTGATTGTTAATATATTTGCTGCAGCAATCATTAATAAAGAGGCGTGCTAATAACAATGAAATACAGCTCCGCTTGAAAAATGAGGTGTACACAGACCCCCAAAGAGCCTTATATCTGTCACTGTACCACAACACCGTGTTATGAGTTACTACAGATTATTAAAATAATTTAACGTAGTTATTGCCCTGAAATATGTACCTTTCAGCCTGCGAGTGAAAGTGGGCTGTATGCTAATAAAGAACAATTCTAAGCAATCGCCCCAAAGGGTTCTTGCCCAAGTCTAATTATAGGCGGTAAATTTGTCTCCTTCCAGAAAAACCCAAGGAGAGCTTTCCACTGTCCTTTTCCCAATCCCCGTGATTAGTGCAGGTGTTCCGGAAGAAAGTAAGCTCCCCGTCATAGTCAGACGCGCTATGTAACCGGAATATTGCATATTGCCTCCCACAATCTCCCAATTACTAGAGAAGATCGATGCCACGCCAGCGCTCTCCAGTGCTCGCGCCGGGGGCTGGTCACGGCCTGGAATTCTCTTCCCACCTCAGCCCCTCGTTTAGTTCAGAATTTCAGTCTGAAATATTAAATGTATAGGAGTGCCCTCAGAAATGCCTAGAGGCTTGGCAGTTGTAGGTTTGATTTTTTTGCAGAGAGGAAGGGAGAGGAATAGAGAGCTAGAAACATCCACCAGCTGCCTCCTGCACACCCCCAACTGGGGATGTGCCCGCAACCAATGTACATGCCCTTTTCCGGAATTGAACCTGGGACCCTTCAGTCTGCAGGCCGATGCTCTATCCACTGAGCCACACCGGTTTCTGCAGTTGTGGGTCCCCCCCCCCCCCAAGGTTTTATGCATGTAGTGCCATGGAATCACCAAGATCTATTATGTAATGAAAGAACTGTACAGTTCAGACCGAATGTACAGATGAAAAAACAAAAGTGCTCCTCTCCTCTCATTGGAACACGGAGGGTTCTGGCTTAAGCAAGCAGGTGTCTGAGGCTGACTGACTGACTGAAGGGGGGCGGGCGAGGCAGGCTTTCGCTGTCCCTTCTTTTCCGCTGTTTACCTTAGGGACAGCGGTCAGACAGGCGTCTAAGCTAACAGCAGCTTGTATTCGATGGGGAGGACTCCCTTTGAAGAGCGAGCCTTGGCTCCAGAAAGGAACCCTTTGGAGGACCAGTCCCTTTCTGCCTCGCGTTGCCGTGTGTCCGCGGCAGAGCGAGCACCAGCCAGCCCGCGTCTGAGCAGCGCGTCTGTCCGGGCCGCTTTTAAGAAACGCATTTTTGTTTCAGGTAGTCGGGAATCTGCCTTTGTTTACGCCATCTCCTCAGCTGGAGTTGTATTTGCCATCACCAGGGCCTGCAGCCAAGGGGAGCTAAAGTCCTGCTCCTGCGACCCCAAGAAGAAGGGGAGCGCCCGGGACAGCAAGGGCACCTTCGACTGGGGCGGCTGCAGCGACAACGTCGACTATGGGGTCAAGTTCGCCCGCGCGTTCGTGGACGCCAAGGAGCGGAAAGGCAAGGACGCCAGAGCCCTGATGAACCTGCACAACAACCGAGCCGGCCGGAAGGTAGGGCTGCGCGGACCTTACACTTTCCTAGAGATGAGAACACGCCACAGAGGCACGCATCCCCACGGTCCCCCGGCCCCACGCTGTTTGCTCTAAAGAATGCCACAGACTGGCCCTGGCCAGTGCTGCTCAGTGGTCAGAGCATCAGCCCGCGCACCGAAGGGTCGCGGGTTCAATTCCCAGCCAAGGGCGCATACCTGGATGATAGGTCTAATCCCTGGGCAACCAATCGATGTCTCTTTCACATGGATGTATCTCTCTTTCTCTCTCTCTTCCCCTTCTCCCTGCCTCCCTTTTCTTACTGGCTGTAAAAAGCAATAGAAAAGATATTCCTGGGTGAAGACGAACAAAAACAAAAGAATACCACAGACTGGGTGGAAGTACACATACACACACCCCCGCCCCCCACGCTCCACCTTTCTTCCCACTGGGAGCTGCGGGAGTCCACCCATTGCTCTTGGCATTGTGTGGAGCCAAGTGTTTTACGGTCCCTCCGGATGGTGTCATTGTAGACAGAAGGTAGGGTCTGTGGGTGAGGCCAGCGAGTGCTTCGTTTCACATACCGATGGGGCCTGGAGAGCTTGTAGGAAGAGGATAGCAAGACCCAGAACATCTCCTCTCACACGTGTCCTGACAGCAGCTCACCAGGAAAGCCACCTGACTGGCTCTGTGGGCGTCAGGGATGCTCTTCGGAGAACCAGACGTGCCTTGGGGTTTCTGCTCCCAGAGAAGTAGACCGAGGGGGACATGGCCCCCAGGGGGTCCTCTGTCCCTTATCGTCTGTCCTCACTGACCTCCTGGGCGGGAATCCACTGGTCAGTATTGACTCTCTACCTCCATTTGCCAGATGAAGAAACAGGCCCTCAGGTCCTCAAGGTCGCATGGGGAGTCAGTTGAAAACCCAACACTAGAACTTAGCTTTCCACTGCAGACCTGGGGTTTTGTGGCCTAGGCCAGTGGTTGGCAAACTCCTTAGTCAGCAGCCAAATATCAACAGTACAACGATTGAAATTTCTTTTGAGAGCCACATTTTTTAAACTTAAATTATATAGGTAAGTACATAGTTATTAACTTAATTAGGGTACTCCTTCAATCACACTGTATGTGCACCCCCGCACATGGTATTTTGTGGAAGAGCCACACTCAAGGGGCCAAAGAGCCGCATGTGGCTTGTGAGCCTCCATTTGCCGACCACTGGCCCAGGATGAAGCCGTTAAAAGGACAGTGTCCGGACCCATTGCTAAGCCACGTCTTTTGGCATGGTGGCATGGCCAGAATAACTACAGAACCTGCATGCTGCCCACAGTGCCTCTGGCAAGAAGCACCCACTGGCTGGGGTAATGAAATATTAATTAGTCAGATTAATCAAGGCATAAGATACATAAAGTGTGGGAAGCACCTAATCTTTTATTTAGCTCAGAAATTTATTTTCATATATTTATAATACTTATTTTCACACAGACACAGCCGCACTTGTGTGATTAGATGAGATATACGTTTTGAGCATTCTAGAATGTTCCTTGCAGCCTCTTCCCAGGAATCAGCCACAGTTGACTTTTCCATTGTCCTGTTTCCATTTTTGGCCATTGCAAATAAAGCTAGTGTCATTCTAATTGCATGAAAAACAGTTAGGGCCATCCGAGAATAATCATATTGCCAGTGAGAAAAGATAGACATAATTTGTCATTTGTCAACATAAAATTAAAATGTGCTTGATATTAATATATAAAGAAAGATCAGCATATAATTGAAAGGTCTGGGGGAGGCGGTCTTTAACATAAAAAAAAAAAAAAGAACTGAAAAAACAATGCGGATCTGTTTGGATGAAAACTCTTATTAAGCTCACAGAGAGACCAAATGTCATTTAGCAGGAGTTGAAAGGAAGGAACTCTTGCTTAGAACAAGGAAGATGATGAGTGTGACCTGAACTGTTTACAAATAGTACCTTTCTTGAACTTTGAAAGTCAACATTCCTTATGTTCATGAATTTATTAATTTACAGTGACTGCTGCCAAAAAATATAGGCTACGGTTGTGCAATCCCATGACTGTTGGCAATGACCGCTTGTGCAACAGTTTGGATAGAGCACAATGTACAGCGACTTTGTTTTGACGTGGATGCCGCCTGCATAAGACACAAAGGGTGGTGTCTTTGATAGGAGTGTGCTGCTCAATTACTCAAGCAGGAAACATCGTTAGATCTCTTAGATTGCAGATAAAGGTCACCCACTGCATCCAAGAGCATGTTGACTCGTCAAAATAAATATTAATGATGCTTAATCGCTCATTAGATACCGAATGCTCCAGGTCTTGAGGACAGCAGATCCAGGCTATTATCTTGTAGGCCCTGAATAAACATGACTTGCAATGCGGATCACGTGATTCCTCACTGTGCAGAGGTGAACAGCTGTCAGGCCTCAGATACTCTCCTGCCTACTCTGCAGAACTGCGGAGGCTACTTCGGACTGGAATAAAAGTGCACACGCTGACTTTTTAAAATGTGGCTTTAATTAATGGTGGGTGGGCAGGCTTTTCCAAGGAGATGCATGATGTCAGTGAGCATGAACTTTAACGAGAGTGAATGTATTGAGATAAACATGCGTCTCTAATTCTCTCCTTGCCGTCGTTAGGCCCCCAGTCTTGACTCCCCCTTCACCCAGGCAGAAGGTCTGCAGAATCAAAATGAGAACAGGCTGGGCCTGTGTGGAAGGCAGGCCTCCTGAGCGAAATCTCCAGCGGGCCTGGTTCTAGCACACCCCAGCCGCCAGGGGCTGACCACGGCATTCGTTCCGTTTTCTTTCTTCTCTGTGCTTTTCAGTATCTCCCCAGTTGTCTAATATGAGTATCTTATACTTTTTAATGTTGTAGGGGAGAGGGGAGACCAGTGCCTTTTATTTAAAGCACATCTATTCTAAGTTGATTCTGTTTAGCCAATGCTGTAAGTCATCATTCAACACTGCCATTCACAAAAGGCCCTAATTTCCCCCCTAATATCCGAGCAGTTTAATTCGCTTATTAGAACAGCTGGTTAGAGCACCCTCATGTGTCTCTGGATGGTAGTATCATTTTGGATCTGCGGGGCGACTATCATTTCACTCACCGACTCAGCAGAGTTTTGCTGACGCTGCTTTCCTTCGTGTTTACCTGAAACTCATCCTTGATGGAGCCTTGGTTTCTACCTCCGGGGAGTCCTAGGAAGATAAATTTACCTTGTTCAACACAAACTTTCTATCCACAAAGACACCCCACAGCTGCTCTTGGTGGCTCTTTTTAGGGGTAGAGAAGCCGTGTGAGGAAAGCCTCTGAGTTACGTTTTAGGACCAGGTGAGGCAAATTACAAGCACAAGTTACTGGGCCGATAGTCACCATTTGTTCCTTTCTGGGGGTTGAAAATGGCTTTAAAGTAGTCTGCTCTTCCCCTAATATGAAATCATCACAACTTCTTTTGCCTTTCAAGAGAGAATATATATCAAAATCATGTATCCAGCAAAATTCTGCCCTTTAATCACTGGACATTTCTATAATAAGATTAAGAGGGATTCCATAAAAAACTTTCCCTAAAAGATATCTCTTCCTATGGAAAAGATAGAACATAGGATTTGAAATGAGACCCACATTAGTCTTAGCTGTGCAATACCGGTGGCTTTGCTCACTGAATTTTAGGTTCTATCGTGTGTAAAGTGTATTATATGTGCTCTAGGAAGACAAGATTAAGGCAAATAGCGGAGACCCTGGCACACAGTAGGTACTCAATAAAAGTTTGTTCCTTTCCCCTTCATGAAGTTATCTGTAACGTAGGTAATAGAGATAGGCACAAATTCAATTTGAACTGTTACTTAGTTCAGATTGAACTATTCTGTCTGGTCATTATCCAAAGACTCATCTTTGGTTCAGTTTAACATACTAAAAAAAACACCAAAAAACAAACAAACAAACAAACAAACAAAAAAACAGGCACGCAGGTGGGGAGTTCAGTTGGTTAGAGCATTGTCCTGATATACGGAGTTTGGGGGTTAGATCCCAGTCAGGGCACTGTAAGAACTAACCCATGAATACATACATAAGTGGAAAAACAAATCTGTGTTTCTCTTCTCCTCCTTTCCTTTCTCTCCAAAACCAATAAATAAGCAAATAAATAAATAAATAAATACACAATTCAGGCAAATATTATTTGCACACAAGTTTTATAATTTTATCTTTAAAAAACCCATATGGGAATTTAAGAAACAGTATTAGTATTCCTGTTTTTCAAATGAGAAACTGGGACTTAGAGAGGTGACGGGGCTGACCAGGGTCACACTTATGAAGTGCTGGGTTTGGAAGGCTCAAGTCCAGTTGTGTTCATCCATGTTTTCATCTGCCTTTCCATGATGTCTCTGTTGAGAATTTGAGAAACACACACACACACACACACACATGCACATGCACACGCACACGTGCACACACGGTATTTCTGTATTTTAAACAAAGGAGCAGCAGCAGCCACCACCCTTGGAATTATTTTTTCCCCTTGGTGTGTGTCTTTATTTTACAAGTTTTCTAAGATAAACATGTACCCTTTTTTAAAAACAAAAAACAAAAACAAAAACAGGGAAAATGTTTTACATGTAGAAACATAACTGCTAACGGTTGTGAACAGCTCAGCGCCCCTTAGCCTTTTCAGTGGATTTACAACATTTCAGCTAATGGCACTGCACACTTCAGAACGCCGTTCCTCGGAGCTGCTGGGCTAACCTTGTCTCAACAGATAACTTATTGTTGAATTACTTTGGGAAGAGCTATTTGGGGCGTTAAGTTATATGTGGAAAAGAACAGGACGAAGAAGCCCCTGGCCATAAGAAAGTAAACTTTAGTCAAGGAGACCCAGGAAATACCACCGGGAGGCAAACAGCACACTGGGTGTGGAACAGGAAAATCAGCTAACGGGCCGGGGCGGAAGCTGGGGAGAGAAAGGCTGTGTCCCAACAGTGGGTGTTCGAGTTGGAGATAAAGACTTCCCCT